TTGACAGTGGAGCAGCTGTCTCAGTGTTGTCTGAGCAGTTCAAGGCCTACTACAAGTGCAGCGCAGAAGAGCAGGTGATGGACACCTACTATGCAGCCAATGGGTCTGCAGTCACCATGAGAGGTGAAGTTCAGGTGACAGTTGTGTTTGAGACGGGATCAGGTTCCAAGAAGTCTCAGAACTTTCGTTTGAAGTGCTGCGTAGGCTCCACCAGCCACAACATTGTGAGCACAACCCAGCTTGTGAAGCGTGGATGGACAGTTGTTCAGTCGCCAGGTGAAACCTATCTTTGGCATGAAGAGTCGAATACCGTGATTACTGATGTGGTGTTGTGGGGAGGATGTCCCTGGCTGAGAGCCAAGAAGACAACATCTCAGGTTCCTGCTTTGAAGGATACCTACATGCCGATGGAAGTTGATGTGCCAATGGAGTCAGTGAGGACCGGGCAAGGCTTGACTGTTGGTATGGTAGGTGCGGTTGAGTTGTCAACCCAGGAGAGACTGCGTCAACACATCTTGAGAGGCCATTATCCGTATGACCCTCATTGTTTGGAATGTCAACAGGGCCGTGGTGTTTCCAGAGCACCCAGGCGAGATTTGAAAGAGCGCTTGCTTGAGGTACAGGTTGACTTCATGTTCTTGGGAACAGTTGGATCGCAGTACAAGTTCTTGTTGTTTCGTCACTGTTTCAGTGGTTTGTTGGGTGTCTGCGCTGTGAGCGAGAGTCTTGACACCACCGGCCAACATGTCCGCCAGATCTTGGCAGAGTTTGGACTGTTGTCTGGAGATCCAAAGCCGATTGACTTCAGGTCAGATGCGTCCGATGAACTCGGGACGACGTTGAGAAGAGCTGGTATTCCAAGAGAATTTACCGTCAGCAAAGCAGGTCCCCAGAACCATGATACTGTTGGTTCAGTGGAGCGTGGAGTCCGTGAGCTGAAAGAAGGTCTTGCGGTACTGAGACTCGAATTGGGGAAAGCAGGTGTTGACGTGGTCAACAGTTTGGTTGGCTGGGAAGCCAGTTCAAGGTATGTGATTGCGATGCGCAACTTGCATTCGAAGTTGGATGGCACAGGATTGAGTGGACGAGAGGTCCTGAGAAACCAGGTTGATCAGAAGAATGCTGTCACAGCGATGTTCTGTTCTAGGGTTCTTGCGGAGACACCTGACAGTGTGAACAGCATCGGGAGGTTTGTGACTGCTGGATACCTGTATCCTGTGAGGAACTCGTTTGCACACTTTGTAGTTGCGTTGATTGAAGGTGAACTGAAATTTTTCCAAGCGAAGAGCCTGAAGCTCGTTTTTCCAATTGTGTATTCTCTGGAATTGGTTGGAAGGTTCTTGCGTGCAGTGGACTCTGCTGGACCTGCACCCGCCATCTTGGACCAGGAACCGATTGAGATCGTTCCAGAGGACTTTGCACGTCTGCCCGACAAGGTGCAACCTCCACGGCATTGGATTGATGCCCATGGACGGACCGAAGGTTGTAGTTCTTGTGCTACTCGTCAAGGTCGACACTCCAAGAAGTGCTGTGAGCGCTATTGGACATGGCTTCGGAACCAGAGATCCAAAGAAGCCGTTGTGCCTGAGAAACAACTCCCACTTGCCGAGCCCAATGACCAAGAAGTGGCGGTACCAGTACCATCACAGCCACTACCAAAGATTCCAGGTTTGCCATCTGGAATGTTGCCTACAAGGCACTGTCCGAGTTGTGAATCAGGTATGAATGCTCCTGGCACCCGCCATTCGGCTGAGTGCCGCAAGAGGCAAGGTGAGTTCTTGTCTACTCCTATCAAGCCGTCGCTTGAGGATGTGGAGCAAGCTTTGGAGCAAGCAGGTGAAGGTGGAGACGCCCCCTACTCACCATCTCTGGGTCCCGAACATGCTGATCTTGCCGATGTGGACATGGACTTACCACTTGAGGCGAGTTCTGCACCAGCTGAGGCTGCATCCTTTTCGGAGCGAGACGCTCCAGAATTTCAATCCGAAGATGTTGAGATGGAAGTTGAACAGCCACAGACGATCCCGATGATCGATGTGGGTCTTTGCTCTGAGAGAGTCAGGATTGGATGTTTGACTTCTCCCGATCTGCTCTCCGAGGAGCGGTTCTCTGTTGAGTCTATCAGTTTTTCAGGTGGAGCTCATGACTCTGAAGTTGTTGAGCTATGTGGATCCAAGGTTCGATTGTGGAAGCCAACAGGAGCTGTTTCGGATACCACTCTTGAAGAACTGGACCCCCAAGGAACTTTCCTTGCGATGGTCAAAGAGCTCAAGGGATTGACTCATGTGAAGGCAGGTCGTATCATGAAGGAGAAGGAAGCCTTGCAGTTCTGCAAGAAGCACAACATCAAAGTTATCTCCTGCAGGTGGGTTACGAACAGTAAGCCTGAAGCCGACGAAGGAGTTCGTGCTCGGATAGTCGTGAAAGATTTCGCTAAAGGTCAGAAGACCGCCAGGCAGGAAGGTATTTCTTCCCCCACACCCTCGATTGAGTCGCTACGACTTCTGTTGGGAGCGGCAACGGGTATGGGGACTGGTGGAAAAGGTTTCAACCTTTATGCGATTGACGTCAGTCAGGCGTTCATGAATTCACCGCTCACTGTGAAGGTTTGTGTCCGGCTTCCATCATCAATCAGCACACTTGACAATGAACCGGTTTTTCTTGAGGCTTACAAGGGGTTGAATGGACTTCGTATCGCAAGTTTGACTTGGGTTCTGTTCTTTGATGGGATTGTCAAAAGCGTTGGCATCCGATCTGGACTTGTGGAGCCATGCTTGTACGGTGGGATGGTACGGGGTGCCCCCATCCTTGTCATCTGTTATGTGGATGACCTGTTGGTTGCCACGCCCAGCGAGGCTGCGTATCGTGTTCTGTTTGAAGCTCTTGAGAAGCAGGTCAAGATCCGAGAGACTGGCCGAGTGACCATGTCTGGTGGTTCATTGAAGTTTCTAGGCCGTACCATCCTCCGAGAGAAGGGAAGCTCAGGTTTGCAGTTGTTTGTCGACCAGGATTACCTGAACAGTGCGTTCGAGGAGTATGGAATCTCCAAAGGTTCCACTGCATTTCCTGATCTTCGTCCATTTTTGGAGCAGTCACTGCAAGAAGAGCCTATCAGCGCTGAGGCGCACTCCAAGTTCAGGAGAGTTCTTGGACGTCTGTCATGGCTGGCACAGACCCGACAGGATATCTTGATCCTGATTGCAATGCTGTCAACTGGACAATCCTGTCCAAAGCCAGGCCATGAGAAAGCTCTGCGAGCCGTGCTTCGATTTATGTTGTTGCACATGAAGATGTCCCAGAAATTTCCTCACCTGGACTTGAGGACCTTTCTGAGAAAGACATCGGTCTGGAAGTTTATAGTGATGCTGGATTTGCCCCTATGCAAGCTACTCAGAGGAGAAGCATCACTGGGTGCGTTATTGTTTTCCGATGTGTTGTTTTGAAGTGTTTCTCTCGACATCAGGCATCTGTGACGTTGAGTTCATGCGAGGCAGAGCTCGTTGCCGTTCAGGCAGCTGTCCAAGAAGCCATTGGTTTGCTGAGAAGTTTGAGTTTTGTCCTGCGTCGCATTCAGGTATATCCACCGTCTTTGTCAGAGGACGACAGCTTGGATTTTGTCTGTCCGATCCTCTTGTGGACTGACTCCCTGAGTGGGAAGATGCTTTTGGAAGGTTCCGGCCTCCAGCGTAGGTCAAGACATATCGACATCAAAGTGAACTGGTTGAGAGAACTTTTGGGAAAAGAAATCCTGCAAATTGGACATGTCAGAGGAACTGGAAACGTCGCTGACCATTTTACCAAATGTTTGCCGACGATCAAAGCGTTGCAGTACATGGAAATAATTGGTTTTTCGTCGTTTGAAGGTATTCTTTTGGACTGTTTGCTTGATTTTGAAATCCGCGACAACAGTTTTTCAGGTCTTTTGTGTGCGTTTTCAACCAGAAATTGCATGTTTTGTGGAGAGTTGATTTGTGAAGAACCTGCAAATTCAACAACTTGTGAATTGTCGCCATTTCCACGTTCATGCACTCATATGATCAATGCACTTGTAGCTGTTTGCGAAAGGTTTCAAGGCGAGGGAATCGGTTCCGCTACGAAGACTGTACGCTTAAAGTTATAAGACTTTACAGACTTAGCCTAGATATACAGAAGTTAAAGGATTTATGTTGGAAGTTAGCATGACTTATCAAAAAGATAAAAGGAAGTTATGTTAACTTTAATAACTTATTTGTAAGTTTTGTCTTAACTTTTCGTAACTTCTGCTAACTTTTTATAACTTCTGCTAACTTTTTATAACTTTTCATAACTTTTTGTATCTTTTTTGTATATTTTTATACTTTTGAAAGTCTTTGCCTTGGTTTCCGACCACGTGGATTTTATAACTGTCTTGTTTCTGAAAGAACTTTCAGATATGATATCCTTTTTTTGAATCGACGAAGTGATGTGAAAGCGTTTCAGTTATGTATGTTTCAGGAATCATGACACCTGAGGCGATATGTTTTTTTTTGTGATATCTCTGTCTGTATTTTTGGATCTGGAAACAAGTTTAGTTGCAACTGTTCCCGTTCGGGATCCGTCATTTTGTTAAAACGATCCCGTTCGGGACTTGGTTGTTTCAACCTCTCCCTTTCGGGATCTAGTCCGTTCCAACGTTCCCTTTCGGGATTTAGTTTCTTCAACCCATCCCTTTCGGGATCCGTTTTTTTCAAACTGTCCCTTTCGGGATTTGGTTGCTTCAACCCATCCCTTTCGGGATCTGTTTTTGTCAAACTTTCCGTTTCGGGATTTGGTTTCTTCAACTCATCCCTTTCGGGATCTGTGTGTTTCAAACTGTCTCTTTCGGGATCTGGCTGTTTTCAACTCATCCCTTTCGGGATCATTTATATTCAAACCATGCCAGCGACGCAAAAACTTTTTTTTCTAGCCGGGGCATGAAACGCAGCTTCAATTTGGATCATTTCCTCTTCTTCAAAACCGAATGTGAAGCAACATGTGCGTTTTTACCATAGGGTGAGTAAACTGTTACCTGATAGTATCCAATGGGCGGGTCGATATACTTGCATCTCATTCCACATCATCCGAAGCAATTCAGTGTCTGCTCTGCACCATTCGAAAAGGCCAAATCCAATGACCCGAGTGGATTCAAATTTTTCCAGGACGACTGTGATGGTATCACCATGTTGTTCAAAGCATTTGATTCTTCCAGCCCAAAGCAAATCATGCTGGATCACAACATTGTCCACCTTCCACGTGACAAGGTTTTGTTTCAAAGTGTAACTTTGCCAGTGATTGGGTTTCACGAAGGTGCTTTCGCACAAGAAGGCCTTGCCAATGCTTTCGCTTGCCTTGTTCAATTCATTCACCTGTGTTAACAAGATGAGTCGAAGCATGCGTTCTTCGAAGCCTGCCAGATTCTGTCCGGAAGATTCGATCTCTCGTTTCAACATTTGATGCTTGCGTTCTTGCGTTTTTGTGTCCAAGCAGCAACCGAACTCAGTCCACGCGTCAGCTGCATGCAAAGAATAATGATGCTTCGGTCTAGCATGCTCACGCCCATAGGCTCGCAAAAACTGAGCATAATGGGCTTGCTGTTTGGATCGCAGGAGATCTCGGAAAGTGCTTCTTTGGCTCCAAGCTAAGACACATAGGGTATACAACCGTTCACAGAGAAGTTGGAAGGAATAGCATTTGTCCTGCAAGCGCTCCCAACGCTGTGTACCATGAATGTGTAGCATCAGCCACAAGTGAAGTAGCGGCATCATCATCATGTGCTCCGATCCAGACGCTTTCCATCCAACATTGGAACCAAAATAAGGATCCGACAGCAAGCGTTTCCGGGATTGCAGACTGACAGGATGGGTGGAGGAAATGTCCACTGCCGCACAATCTTGGATCTGGTTCCAGCTCATCCCATCTGACAATAATGCCTGGACAAACAGCCCAACCTCCACAGGCGCGATGCCACCTGAATTCCAAAAAAAATGCAATAAATCAAACGTCGCAGTGGATGGACGTACAAAATTTCTCAAGTCATGTTGGGCCAAGAGTCCGTCTGGAGAATGAGTGAAGCCGATGTTTCTTTCTAATTCTGCGAACTGTTTTTTCGATATAGTTCGCTGCTGTTCTTCCAAATGGTCCATCGATTGCCACACATCTTCATCGGTCATCCGATGAAATTCGGTGATGTTGGGACAGCAAATATCCCGAAAATAGCTTCCATCGTCCAAACCTAGAGTCGCGCCTGCCAGTTTGGCAACACAGTTCTTGCATTTCATGCACGGTCGTCGACCAGAGGCGCCTTTGCAACACCACATTGCATGCATTGCAGACTCATCCATGATGCATCCTGCTAGTCTCACTGGAAAGATGCGAATGGTGCCATCTCTCAATGTCACTGGCCTGCCATGGAAATTGTCTGTCCAGGACTGAAATAATTTTGCCAGGCAGTGACTCAAACCTCCAGTGATCCCCTTGATGATCTGCGTGCGCAAGAGTGCGATTGGCAACCAGACAAATTCCGAATGCAGCAGTGATCGCCATTCTAAGAAACTTATGTAAAAACAAACGCTGCGTCGAGTATTGTCCGGATGAAGCACATTTCCGGGCACAATTTCATCATGATAGAATAGAAGCTGGAGAAACTTTCCGTCAACATGCTGTCGTAGCAATGTGTCAAACTTGTCGACATTGTCGACAAAAAATTGTAAAGCCGCATGTGGCGTCATCGTATGCCAAGTCACAGAAGATCCATCATCGCATGGCAATGAGATGCAATTGCAGTATTGCTGCCGCCAATCAACACGTCTTCTCTTGTTCAACTGTCTCACGGACCCAGTGGTCACAGAACTAGACAGCAGGTTTTCTTCATGCAATATGTCGATCACATCAATCACCGTTCCGACATTCGCACCTCTGCGAGCACAGGCGCTAGCTGCAGCATTGCGCAAGCGTCGCGCTTCATCTCGTTTGAGATGTTGCTGGCTCATCTACTATAGGCTTGATTTGTGCTGTGGAAACTGACTATCCTTGAAGTGGTTAACAGGTCAAGCAATGTGGCATATGCGTCCTTGAGGTCGCTATGAGTGCCACTCGTACTTGCAATTGGCATGGCAAATCACAGGCTGCAACACGCAAAGGCTTGAAAAACAATTTAACCATGTGCCTTTTGTTGACGGATGCCGTTCTCTATATCGGACATTCTGTATGTTTCAAATTGTCCTTGATCAAGCTGGATCTCTTCGATACCAAGTATACCTTTGTTTGCCTATCACGTCTATCCCTTTCGGGATCTTGTTGTTTCATTGTAACCCTTTCGGGATTTGTTTTTTTCAACCTATCCCTTTCGGGATCTGGTGATTTGAACCCATCCCTTTCGGGATCTCGTTGTTTCAACCCATCCCTTTCGGGATCTGATTATTTCAACCCATCCCTTTCGGGATCTGGTTGTTTCAACCCATCCCTTTCGGGATCTGATTACTTGAACCCATCCCGTTCGGGATCTGGTTGTTTCAACCCATCCCTTTCGGGATCTGATTATTTCAACCCATCCCTTTCGGGATCTGGTTGTTTCGACCCATCCCTTTCGGGATCTGGTTATTTGACCTCATCCCTTTCGGGAATTATTGCTTGCAGCAATATGTCGTGAGACAGTAACGTGATACATCTGGAAAACGTTCCTTTTTTTCCTCTCCGCTTCAAGCAACACAGCTGTCGCTTCGATCTACTTGTCCTCTTTCGGAGTTGGCTTGGCCTTTGGCGCCACATGATACAACAAATCTCTGAAGGCCATAGTTGTCTTCAGCAAAGCCTGCAGAGACTCCTTCAGGCGCAAGTGATCAATCTCCGTATCAAGAGTTGCCTCCACGATGTCCTCCGTTGCCTCGATGCTTTCCTGCAAGATCTTTTGGCCATCTTTGAGAGCTACCTTGTCACTCGAAGTCTCGATGGAGGACCGGAACTTCTGGGAGACACTCATCGCCTGCATGGCGTCTTTCAAGCCAGCACTGATGTTCTTTTTGATGCCTTTGTTGGCTGTGTTCCAATTAACGACAAGGCCAGCTCCCGAAGCCTTGCCTCCTCCTTTGCCACCAACTGAGAGAGCGGAAGACGGCTGGCTCCCGGGCTTCCTGACTCTCTCCATTCCCATTGCTGTGTTCCGAAACACAGTAGCTTCTTTGTGTTGATTTGACACATGATCCTTGAATTTCTCCACGCGGTACTGTTTCACATTCTCAGCGGCAAGAGCTGGATTTTCATGGTCCCTCTCAGGTAAATCCTTGATCACCAGAGGCAGGTGAGGATCGTCCAGCTGCATACCCTCTTGCTGAGCGATTTGCTTCAGTGTCATCCACCGGCCGCTTGTAGTCGAGCCTTCCATTCTTGCTAGCTCAGTCTCTTGAGCGATCTCAAATCGGAAACTCAAGGTGCGGTCAGCAATGTATTTGTTCAAAATGGCTCTCTTGTCCTCAGTGCTGCCTGCACTATATCGCTGTGCCAGTTCGTCTATTCCAGCCTCTCCCGATCGAGCTTTCAAGACATGTTTGAGTTTTTTGATCTCTGCCACAGGCAACGGATTGGCTGACTTGGGCGGCATTGCTTTTTTTGTTATATCTGAAGCTGTGCCAAAGGTGCTGCAGATTTTTTTCTTCGTGTATATTTGTTTTGTATGAACTATAGCGATTTTTGTCTCCAGTGTAACTATTTTTATCTGAACTATAGCCATTTTTATCTGAACTATAGCCATTTTTTATCTGAACTATAGCCATTTTTTATCTGAACTATAACTGAATAGCTATTTTTGTCTGAACTCTAGCTATTTTTGTCTGAACTATAGCTAGTTTTGTCTGAACTATAGCGACTTTTATTCTGAACTATAGCTAGTTTTGTCTGAACTATAGCCATTTTTTTCTGAAAGACTAATATTTTTGTCTGAACTATAGTCATTTTTTTCTCAACTATAGCCTTTTTTTTTGAACTATAGCTATTTTTGTTTGAACTATAGCCATTTTTTTTCTGAACTATAGCCATTTTTATCTGAACTATAGCTATTTTTGTCTGAACTATAGCTATTTTTCTTTGAACTATAGCTATTTTTGTCTTATAGCTGAACTATAGCTGAACTATAGCTGAACTATAGCGGAACTATAGCGGAACTATAGTGGAACTATAGCGGAACTATAGCGGAACTATAGTGGAACTATAGCGGAACTATAGCGGAACTATAGCTGAACTATAGCGGAACTATAGCGGAACTATAGTGGAACTATAGCGGAACTATAGCGGAACTATAGTGGAACTATAGCGGAACTATAGCGGAACTATAGCGGAACTATAGCGGAACTATAGCGGAACTATAGCGGAACTATAGCGGAACTATAGCGGAACTATAGTGGAACTATAGCGGAACTATAGCGGAACTATAGTGGAACTATAGCGGAACTATAGCGGAACTATAGCGGAACTATAGCGGAACTATAGCGGAACTATAGCGGAACTATAGCGGAACTATACTATAGAACTATAGGAACTATAGCGGAACTATAGAACTATAGCTGAACTATAGCTGAACTATAGCTGAACTATAGCTGAACTATAGCTGAACTATAGCTGAACTATAGCTGAACTATAGCTGAACTATAGCTGAACTATAGCTGAACTATAGCTGAACTATAGCTGAACTATAGCTGAACTATAGCTGAACTATAGCTGAACTATAGCTGAACTATAGCTGAACTATAGCTGAACTGTAGAACTATAGCTGAAATAGCTGAACTATAGCTATAGCTGAACTATAGAACTATGAACTATAGCTGAACTATAGAACTATAGTGAACTATAGCTGAACTATAGCTGAAATAGCTGAACTATAGCTGAACTATAGCTGAACTATAGCTGAACTGTAGCTGAACTATAGCTGAACTATAGCCGAACTATAGCTATCTAGGTACATTTATAGGGGAAAGGTATCAAATCGACAAATTAATCCTTTTCAGAAACTGTCTTCTCAGACCGAATCCTTCTCAGGAATTGTCATTTCAAACTCTTTCTTTGCAGGAACTGTCTTCTCAGACCGGATCCTTCTCAGGAACTGTCTTCTCAGACCGGATCCTTCTCAGGAACTGTCTTCTCAGACCGGATCCTTCTCAGGAACTGTCTTCTCAGACCGGATCCTTCTCAGGAACTGTCATTCCAGACTATTTCCCTTTCAGGAACTATCACTTCAGACTCTTTCCTTTTCAGGAAGTATCTTTGCAGACCATATCCCTTGCAAGAAGTACTTGTATATGATACTTGGTTTAATCTAAAATGATCAAACCAAAGAAGTGGGGCAGCACACGCAATATGCCTTTTTTTCATCATCCAGGCTCCATGTTCAGAGTTATTTGGCGCCGTGCGATGTGCCAAAGGTTCCTAGCATTGGAGGCACAGGAGCCTTGGAGCCACCTTCGCCATGAGCAGGTACAGCGGCACCACCAACCACAGGCGTTGGTGTGGCTGGTGTTGTAGAAGCATTCGCAGCAGCATGAGGAAACATCTGCGATCCTCCTGCGACTGTGACTGCGGGAGCTGCGGCACCATGCGAAGCAATATTCCATGGCGCAGTGGCTCTTTCTTGCTCTTTGGCATGCCATTCCTGATATTCCCAAGCATGCCACGGGCCATACTCCTTTCTGTACGCCTCCGCATCAGCGTCTCGAACAGCCGCAAGGTCATCCATCATCCTGGCGTGCCATTTGCCGTAAGTTTCTCCCTGTAGGGGCACTGGAATCGTCGATGAAGTCAATCGACGATGTAGGTGTCGCAGGAGTTCGCGGTCCTGCCGCGCTTGCGGCTTGTGGTATGGAGCAGACATGGTTTCCTTGATCCCAAAAAATCACGGACAAGAAATATGTTGTTACATGTCATGTCAGATTATGTCGATGACACTCCCTAACGGGAGCTGCTGTTGCCAACCAGATCCCTTTCGGGAATTGTCTTTCCAGACAACATGACAAAGTCTGACGTTCGAAATCGTTCGTTTGCGGAAACCTACATGTAGACAGCTGGTCCATTTTGCCCGAAATACCGCTGCAAAGGCTTGAAGAAATTCTATACATTTGGTATGGAATCATTGTGATTCCAACAGATTTGTCAAAAGCTGGGAGCAGACATGATGCCCTGACAAACGAGGATATCTGTCACTGTGGAACGCGCGGAGGACGTCACGGAGCCAGCGCCGTCTGTCTTCCAGCGATAAGTCGGGCAAGCACACTTCCAAGAGAGCTTTCAGATATTGCACCTGTAAGTCCTCCGGTGATGGCGTGGGTTCAGCTTGCGGTTCTGTAGGTGGTTCCTGCCGATCACCGCAGCGATGACCATGCGCAATGGCACTGCTATGTTTGCATTCTTTACAACAAAAGCGGTGCATTCCAAAGGCAAGGCGCTGACAACCATGGCTAGCACATGTGGTTGGCGCATCAGTGCGGAAATACCTCGGCATCTTCTCTGCAGCTGAAAGAAAACCCTGGCAGCGAGTGAAGATACGACCTCTCTAATCAACTCCGGCATTAATATTGACTAAAACAAACACATGTTTAGACGCAATTCCGTTCGGGAAATGTTTTTCCAAACTATTTCCTTTTCAGAAATTGTTTTTCCAAACTATGTCCTTTTCAGGAATTGGTTTTTCAGACTGGATCCTTTTCAGGAACTGTCTTTTCAGACTTCATCCTTTTCAGGGAATGTCTGTTGAGAGTGGATCCTTTTCAGGAACTGTCTTTTCAGACTTGATCCTTTTCAGGAACTGTCTTTTCAGACTTGATCCTTTTCAGGAACTGTCTTTTCAGACTTGATCCTTTCCAGGAACCGTCTTGTCAGACTTGATCCTTTCCAGGAACTGTCTTTTCAGGCCCAATCCTTGTCAGGAAATGATCCTGTTCAGGACGTGTCTTGTTCGAGTTTCATCTTCTAAGCAACTCCAGATTGGGACATGCAGACATGTCGATGCTAACGGGCAAAGAGAACGGATCACTTTTCACCTACGTGAAAGATGCAAAGAAAAGTGCAGGCAACGGAAGGTAAATTTTGAATTTATGCCATTTGATTGCAGTCAATCAATGGCCGTGCCTCATTGCAGGAAACTAAGCACATTCAAAAGTCGAACCCTTTCAGTGCCCAGCAGGAACGGGTGCACCAAGGACGATTTCTGCATCGACCACAGCCACCCTGATGAGCGCGAAGCAATTTCAATGGAATGCCTCCAGCACGACGAAGTTCAAAGTCTGCCTTCAACCGATCGGCTCGACTTCTCGTCACCTTGGTCTTTGCTACCTGAGACTTCTTTCCGGTGCTTTTCTCGTTCCCTTTCGTGACCTTTGTAGATTTCTGTGGCTTGGATTCCTTCTTGGCCTTCGGAGTAGGCTTCTTCGCCTCCTTCTTGGTCGTTTTCACCGGAACGGATTCCTCTTCGGCTGGTTCCTGCTGCTCTTTGGCCTCCATCTTCTCCACCTCCTTGGCTTCTTTCCATTGCTCTTCCAGTAGCGCAGCTGCAGACACAGCACCAACCGAAGTTGCCTCGGGGGGTGTCACAGCAGGAGCCGACGACCCCGACATGCCCGGAGTTTCCGGGGACGTCAGCGGCATGGGGAGGGCTGGTGGCGCGGAATGCTGCGGCGGCGCTTCCAAAGCTAAAGTAGGATGTTCCACCTGCTGGGTCTTGCCATGCCGAGCACACCATCGAAAACCTGGTATTTCAAGCTCTCCTTCATCCACATCCTGCAAACCAGGCAGCAGGTTCAGCAATGCAGGGCTAGAAGAAGCTAGGCTTCGTAGTTTCTGCATCTGTTGCCGTCCTTTGCCTTTCGTGACATCATGCAATTGCCGGTTGGTGTTCCTCATGGGAATGGTCACTGCCCGAGCGGCCACCTGAGACAAGTTCAAAGGACATTGTCCAACCGGTTCTGCTCCCAGAGCACGTTGAAGCCAACGAGGATCCATCTGTGCTGGATTTGTCGGCAATTTCTCGACATGCGGCAATGCATCTGAAGTCCCTGCGGCAGCAACGCTCGATCGAAGCTCCTTCTTCACCAAGAGAAACAACTCGTGCAACTGCACGGGTGACAGGGAGCACTTCAATTCTAACTCTCTTCCACCTGGACATGCCAACAGCAAAGCAGTCATCATCTGACTTGTCGCCTCGGACGGAGTCCTCATGCCCAAAGTCGTCGCGAAGACGCCAAGCAGATTCGCTTTGGCTTGGAAAGTGAGATCAGCATTCATCAGCTGCTCCCAAATGCTCTTTGGAAGGTACAAAATGACATTGGTGTAGTCTTGCATAGTTTGCCTGGAAGTTGCTGCAGCACGTGCAGAAAGACCATTCTGGATGGCTAATGCCAAAGAGCTTCGTTCCGTCTCATTCCAAATGGCCTGGCGCTGCAAGAGCTCCAATGCTTCAGAGCCTTCAGAAAGCGACCAACTATGCCGACCAAATTGACACGTCAAAGAAGACAGTTGGCTCTCCTTAGCTTGCATAAAGCTAGGAAACGTCTTCATGGTCTCCAAGTAGCGGCCACAGGCTTCCAGCGAAGCAACAATTTGGCTCATGGCTCTTTCTATAGACCTTTGTCCTTCGGTGCTAGTGAGCTCTTGTTGCAGAAAAAAACTAGATCCAAAATGCAAGCGGATATCTGCTGCCCATTCAATGTTTCTGAACGATATCATGCGACAAAGAATTTTTTCTCAGGAATAGGTTTGTCGAACTTCTTCCCGTGCACGACATGTCTCTTCGCGCTTGATCCTTTTCAGGAACTGTCTTTTCAGACTTCATCCTTTTCAGGGAATATCTGTTCAGAATGGATCCTTTTCAGGAACTGTCTTTTCAGACTAAATCCTATTCAGGAACTGTCTTTTCAGACTTGATCCTTTTCAGGAACTGTCTTTTCAGACTCGATCCTTTCCAGGAACCGTCTTTTCAGAAGTGACCCTACACCTCCGGCACGCATTCCTTTTCCTGCCCGCGCTGATTGCCATCTACTTCTGCTTCTTGCTCGGAGCAGACGCTTCAGAAGACTTACCGGTCACCCTTTTTCGGTCTGGCTTCTTGATGGCCTCTTCTACCTTCTCGGTCTCTGTCTCCGTCATCTTCTCTTCCGTCGCCTGCTCCTTCTCGCGGGCCGCATGCTCGCCATCTCCAGCCTCTGCGGGCGGCTGATCCACCGTCTCCTCTCCGGGAGCCTCGAGGCTCTCCGGCAAAGATTTGGCTAGCTCCAAAAGTGGCGACGCTGCCGCAGCAAGGGCCAACATGTAGCTGTCCGTAGACATCGTATTTAATCGAACGGACGCGCTGGTGCTTTTACTTTGAGAGGCAATGCAGCTAACACAAACACACACTGTTTGCATATTGATAGAAAAAACCAGACCTTCTCTGCAAGAAATATCTTCCAAGACCAGGTCCTTTACAAGCATTAGATATTACAAGTTCAAACATTCGATCCTTTACAGGAAATGTCTTTACAGACCACATCCTTCACAGGAACAGTCTTTGCAAACCATGTCCTTTACAGGAACAATTTCTTCAAACAGAATCCTTTACAGGAACCATTTTTTCAAACCATGTCCGTTCCAGGACCTCATTTTTTTCACACCGATTCCTTTACAGGACCTGTCTTCACAAAAAATTTGCCTGCGAACAACATCGTTTCCACATACAGAAAGATTGTTTCACCCTGTATAAATGTTGACAAGCTTTGTCACAAACTTAATGAAACTCTCGAAAAATGTAAAATAAATAAACATTTTCATTGCCCTCTTGTAAACATATTTTTAACTTTATGTACCTTTATACTAACTTTTTGTAACTTTTTATAACTTTTTCTAACTTTTGTTAACTTTCAGATAACTTATGATAACTTTTCCTACATACTTATGTTAAGTCTGTTAACATAGTTATAAAAAGAAAACATGCAGTTAAGATACTTACGATAAGTTCATTAACCATTTATATTTTACCTAAACATTTACAACTTCTCGTAGCCGGCTAGCTAAACTTACAAATTACTTATCAAATGTTATGACACTTTACATACTTGCAAGCAGGTTATAGACATGTTATAGAAGGTTTATATACATGTTGTAACTCGTCTAAATCTGTAAACTCATATAACTTCCAGCGTACAGTCTTCGTACCACTGGATGTTTCTTAGTCCTAATAGGCCCCAATACTTATTTCCCACTCACTGCATTCTCTAAGAAGCAAACATCAGTGTCAGTTTCTAGCACTGAAGCCGAAGTAGTTGCTGCAAACATTTCCCTCCGCGCTGTAGGACTGCCTTCATCCGGTTTATGGGCCTACCTCCAGAACGCGGGGGGGGGATCAAGCACTCCGGGAGGTTTGCCAAGAGAAAGTATCAAGACCCAACCTGAGGGTAACGGTGAGTACTGGGAGTTCTTACGGGATAGAAGATTGCTCGTCCGTGTCCACACCAAGAACAGGGCCCACCTTTTCAATCCGACCGAGTCCAAAACCATTCCAATCCCCATCAAACGAATTGGCAACTCCAGAACAACTATCTTTATTTCATCAGGAATGATGGACTTCATTCAGGACAATTGGAAAAGACGGGGCACTAGACCTGTTGACAAACAATGGACGGGAAAGACATTCTTCCGTGTTTATGGGCCTTACGAAAGTGACTATGAAGTTGAATCATCGGAAGTTCGGGAAGCACTTACTGATTATGAATTTGTAGGACAAGAGAAAATGGGTGATTACATGGTGTCACTCTTCCCTCCCAAGAGCATCCGTGGAGTCTTCGTCGAGGACAACCAAGCCACCATCAGAATCTTGGAAAACGGTAAGTCACCATCGTTTCGTCA